CTTATTAGATAACAGTGAATAACATGAAGAGCTGTATATGTACATCTGACCAATGAAAAACCAGAACAAAAAAACAAACAAACAAACAAACAAACAAACAAACAAACAAACACTTTCCTCTGAAGACTGAAGTGAATCAGATGTTTGACAGCCTCCACCACCATCATAAAACACTGAGAACCAGTTTTTCTTTTAATTTGTCGCCCGTCTGTAACTGACCCGGAAATCTCATGATTCAGAACCGATTCTATAAAGAGTTACAGCTGAGACGTTAAACTAACTGGTCCTAATGAAGGTGTGGAGGTGTGACAGTAAGCTGTGCACGCTGTTATTGTCGTGTGTATGATTCTTCATGTCAAGACCACAAAGACACACAGTTGTTGTAGAGAGACTGGAGAGGCAGCAGCAGGGGGCTTTTCACCCTAAGGGGACGTTTGGATAAGAACCCATCACATGTGGTCAGAGAACATGTCATGCAGTTTAATGTGCTTTACGAAGAGTCTGTCTTATTAACCTGTGATAACTTTATTTAGCGCTTCACTGAGAATTGCTTACAGGAGTCTTTGCCAAGACAACAGCAGCAGCAACACAAAACACAGAGGTCATAGTCCGTAAACAGAGACTTTAAACGAATATTAAAATAGAAAAGAACAGTCCAGTGTCAAACAGATATGATCCGAAGAAAATGTAAAGTTGATAAAATGACAGCAGTCAATAGAGTGCAATACACTAATACACTGCATGAGATACTGTGATGGATTAAAACTCTTAAATACATGATAGCATCATAATCAAATATCACTAATAATCAGTCAATACAATTTTGACCAAATGAAACTGAAACTTGAAAGTTCCTGAAGTTTAAGATCTGACTCGTTCCACCGGGGGGGGCAGCTTCAATCAAAGAACTTTGTTCTTACCACTGATGCAATAAATCATTTGATCTGTTGTCAATTACTAATCATCATGTATGGAGAAAGACAGCATGAGCTGAAAGGTTTATCGTCTGTCAATCACGTCAGAAGAATGAGCTACATGGATGGAGACACAGAAACATCAGATTGATTGATTGATTGATTGATTGATTGATCTTATCTGAGAGTGTATTTGTACCCAGGTGAGAACAGTCACACACTATTCAAATATTTACACCTGGCAGCCCCACCCCCTCACCTCTTGATCCACAAAAACTCCTTTAGTGTTATCAGGTGCAAATAGCATGATTGGCTATGCTTGTTTCTGCCATGATATTTACACTGTATTTACACCAGGGTGTAAATATCATCTGCCTTAATAATGTATTGATGTTTGAATGTTGTAGGCAGATGGAGCCAGCAGGGGGAGCACTCCTCAGCACATACATACTGTATATCCAACAACTAGTAAAGGTTCCCTGCTCATTCAGCTCATTCCCTCTCTGATCACTTCCTGTCATTAAACCATCAGTTTATATCAGAGTGGTGTTGATTTGAGTGATGTCCACCCATGTAAAGTCTTCCTTAAAGAAAACCATCACAGTTTCTCCAGAAATGATTTTATTAGTTAATGATGGCGAACACACACACGCACACACACACACACACATGCACACACACACATATTGGGATGACATCACAATTATTATCTTCTTATCCAGTTCAGTTTATGGGGAATACATGAATCTCTCTCGTGTCTGTGTGGTGGAGTCTGAATGTGGTTAGCTTGGCTTAGCATAAAAACACAGGGAAACAGCTAACCTGCCTCTGTCCATGCTGTCTAATGAACAGTACTGTGGGTTTGTAGGTTCCATGGAAGACTGGTATCTACTGTGTCGGTGAGGAGCTTCACTTTCAGTCAGCTTCACTGTGTCAGCGAACAGCTTCACTATGACATACACTAAGTGTCATTGAATGAACTGAAGTCATACTTGTTGGCAGGGGCAGATTGGGTTAGGTGGTATTTATTCATCAACCCTTTAGCGCTGTGCAGCGTCTGTGGCTACAGGGGGTCAGATACTGTCAGTGAGCACAGGTCTCAGTATCACACAGGTCTCAGACATGATGGTACACCACCACCTCACTGCGACAACAAGATTCCCTGAAGCTGTGAACAGTAGTTGCTGCTGCTACGGAAGAAATAAAACCTTTTTTTTTTAACATTTTTGTTTAGTACAAACAAGGTACAGGTGTTAATCAGCTATTGGCTGGCAGAGCCAGGTTTACAGTCTTTAGTCTTTATGCTAAGCTATGCTAGCTGTCTCTTAGCTGTAGCTTCATATTTACCATTAAGACATGAGAGTGGTATCAGTGTGAACTCTTTCAATGACAGCAAATCAGTATATTTCTCAATATAATGAACAAAGTTGATCTGAGCATTTGAGTGAATAATCAAACATATCTAACATTCTGCCTGAATATTTGTTTTTCATCTCTAGAAGCTGGCAGTGAAGGTGGAGATAAAGTTTTCAGAGTGTCAGACATGTTGTTTTACAGATGTAACACAGGGTAACGTCATATGAATTCCTCTGGAGGAGAATCATACTATTCACTGTAATGTGAACCCTTCACTCTATTGTCTTTACTTCATGAGATGACAGCTCAGCAGCTGACACCACTACGTCTTTCTCCACCTGCTCCTCCACCTGCTCCTCCACCTGTTTCTCCACCTGCTCCTCTTCCTGTTCCTCTTCCTGTTCCTCTTCATGTTGCTCCACCTGTGGTGCAGGATCTGAGTACAGGCAAGAGGTGTTGCCATCTTTCCATGTGACCAGGATGTTTCCTGCTCTGAGTTCGTTCACCTCTCCGTTTCCGTTCAGTAGCCTGTCAGGAGAGGATGATGATGAAGTTGATGGTTTGCTTCTGCAGTCGTCTCTGAGTGGTGAGGTGATCTGCAGCTCCTCATCTCCACTCTTCTTAACCAGAGATGCTGCTGCTTTGTACTGAGCTATCTTCTTTCTGTTCCTGTGGGAAACAGGCAAGGGACTGTCAGTCAGCAGCTTCACTGTGTCAGTCAGCTTCACTGTGTAAGTCAAGTCAGTATGACATACACACATGAGTGTCATTGAATAAATTGAAGTCATACTTGTTGGCCATGGCTCCCATTCCCAGTAGCAGAAAACCAACCAACAGGCAGACAAAGGCCAGTCCCAGCAGCACAAACTTCCATGTGGTTGCTGCAACAAGAATACAACACTCTGCTTCAATAATATTGCATTTGTATATATTTGTGTATACACACACACACACACACACACACACACACACACATATATATATGTATATATATATATATATATATATACATATATTTATATTATAAATGTGGTTATGTTGTTTAACTCATCCAGGATCATGACCCTGGTCTTTCTGATACAGCTAACAGAGCTGGAGAATCTATGTGTTAATCTTGGATAAACAACCATGGATGGTGAGCTCTTATTTTGAAAAGTCAGTGAGATGGAAACAATGATCAGCATTCATGTGACTGGCTGAGTGCTGATCATGTGACTCTACTCATACTATTTTTTTTCTTTTTATGAAATCTAGACTTTAGAGATTAAACAGACATTAGAGATTTGGAGATTAAACAGGTTTTCAACAAACTGGCTTTAATAATCAATATTATTAATAATCACATATTGTTTATGAAACATCAATAAACAGAGTAAAGTATACATTTTTTGCATCTGTCTCTTTTTATGAGAGCATCCCAGAGTACATTCTGATTGACTGTTCAAGTGTCCAGATTAAATTTCTTTTATTTGATCCTGATATTTTCTCATTCCAGTGAAAGTTAAACTGTGGTGATCCAGGTACCTGTCAGTCAGCTGGATGAGTGAGAGGAGTGTGCTTTTGACAGCTTAGCAGATAAATGATAAAGAAGTGAGTCAGTTCTTTAGGAACAAAGAAGAGACTTCTCTCTGAGGATGAGACTGTGCTCAGCCTCAGACACCAGTCTGAACCACTGAGTGATCCGTGTCTGACAGGTGACTAACTAGCATCAGATGCTAGCTGTAGCTTTCAGAACAGTCTGAGGTGAGTGATATCTGCAGCACTTACAATCCTCTGTGCGATAGTACCAGCGCAGATACTGTCTCTGTTCCTCTGTCATGGCTGCACTCTCACCGACCTGCTCCTCTTCATCCTGAAACTCATCTGGATCATCAGACGCCCTCCTGAGTCCTGAAGACAGACAGACAGACAGGCAGGCAGACAGACAGACAGGCAGACAGACAGACCGACAGACAGACAGACAGACAGACAGACAGGCAGACAGACAGGCAGACAGACAATTTTTGGACATGTTTAGTAGTACAGCCAGCAGACACAGATCAATATAATGATTCATGTGATATGATGTCTGTGTCATCTGATGAATCTCAGTCCACTGTTCCCTCTCTTTTAGCTCTGTGTTTGGTCTCCACCAGCTCTTGAGGGAAATATCTGTCTCTTTAGCTGCTAAACGCTCCACTGTGTTCACCAGCTGCTCTGTGACTGCATCTATTTGCTTTTTGCTGCTGATCAGGTAGAGGCTGTTTACAGATGTTTCTATGAAAACAGCTGCTTCTGTTGGAAACAACATTTTGAGACCAAAACACAACATTTACAGACCCAACAGCTAAAACACTGAGAAGTGATCATTACTAGTGATCATTATAAGTTTATCACTCTTACATTACATGTGTTTGATCTATTGTTAATATAGATAGATAGATAGATAGATAGATAGATAGATAGATAGAAATAATAATAGCTAATAATAAACATTCATAGTTCAACAGTGATGTGTGCAGCATGCATCTTTTTCAATTAATCTCAAATGTAAATACTTAAACTGCGTCGTCTTAATCAACATGAGGGCAGGATGATAAAACAACGGCTTTATCATTTTCACTTCAGTTTATTAATCACAACTAAACTAGATTAGGTTAAACTCCTTTAAAGAGGATGACGCAGTGACTCAGTACTCAGCCCCTCTCTGCAGGTTCAATTCAGCTGTACAGTGATGCTGTCTAATGAGTGTGTGACTGATTCCCATCAGTGTCTCATTCACTCACTGCTTGGTGTCTTGCCTTTAGTATAATGTTAAGTTACTAAATATATTGTTTATTGTATTTTTACTTCACAACATTAATTTCATAACTTTTGTTACAGGGTTCTTTGCAGATTATTAATATAAAATATGGTCAAACAAATAATGATGTACTGTATTATTATAGATATAATAGATTATGATGAGACCTTTCTGTTTCTGTAATCCTCCCTGACTTACTGAGTTTTTCCTGGCAGATGTCCCCCTCATCCAGAGATCTCCACTTGGACTGTTTGCTGTTGTAAGTCAGAATCACACGTTGGCCATCTACTGACAGCAGCATTGACGTGTTCCTGCTGATCAGCCTGTCCCTGTCACAGTCCCACAGTAACCTTGAAGCATCACCCTCCGGCTCCTGGCAGGACAAGGTCCGGACTGGCTCTGTCTGCTGGGCCGACAAACATCTGGATGTTGCGACACACATCAGCTTGCCCTGAGTGATCCAGACCCACTGTTGATACACAGAGTCCAGGTTGCACCCTTTCAGCAGGACTTCACCTGTAGCTGCAGAGTCTTCCAGACACAGGCTGCGCTGGGTGCTGTGGATCATGAACGCCCTCCCCCCTGCAAGTGTCGTGAGAATAACAGGTTTAGATTAAATAATGCTACTATATAAATCATATGTGTGTGTAAATTCTGTGTGTGAATGAAGCATCACTTTACCTGACAGGAGGAGAAACAGCATGATCCAGATGTCAAACATATCTATAGAGGAAGGGGCGTTAGAAATCTGAGAAATTTCAACCTTTTCATTAAAGACAGAAGACTTGAAGATAGTGTATTCATTTTTAGTGTGAGACCTGATGGCAGGAGCAGAAAAACAGCTGCTTAACACATTTTCTGTAAAATATATCCAGTTTGTGGTTATACTGTACAGTGGTGTTCCCCAAGGTTCATTCTTAAGCCTCATCCTTTTCAGTCTGTACATGCTACCACTAGTCTCTGTCAGCCACAATGCCGAGGACACACATCTCTGCTGTCTCTGCTTCACCAGGCGATATGAGTTACACAGTAAATTGTATTTCACAGTTAAATAAGGACAAAACAGATGACAGGCCAGAAGAAAGAACCTCATTTCACATCTCAGTGCAAAGGATTCAAGTCTTCATCTGAGGCTATGCAGCGAATCATTAACTAACCTTTAAGAACTACACTGGCCCTGAATTCTCAATGCACTGCAACTTAAGAAAAACACATGCAAACAGACAATACACAAACAAATTCAGAAAACATCTTCATCAATTTGACAACACATGTGCTGCAAATACTCACAACACAATGAAAATGATGAACTTGTGAGCAACTGGGGTATCCCCTCATCACTTTTTAGTGTCCCCTGGAAACACTTCTGTTGTCTTGTGAGTATTTGCAGTGTGGTTGTGTATTTGCTTTTGTTGTGACTGTTTGCATGTGTTTTCTTATGTTGCAGTGCATTGCGCTCACAGGGCCACCGTAAATGTCCTTGCCACAGTCACACCATTGCTCTAACAGACCAGGCTATGAAAATGTAGCTAAGCTAGCATTTTTTTCCAGCAGCACAAGCTGTCCAAGTATAACAGACTTTATCATGTTTCTGTGTGAATACATCACAGAAAAAGAAACTGATGAATGAAAGGATCTTTTCTGTCTTTTTATCTTTACTATTTAAAAATCTAATTCATTGTGCAGCTATTGGACACTTTTAAGGTGGAATGTTTTTTTCTGTTACTCAATCCATGAATTAACGTTGTGAATTAATCAATACACCTTAAATGTCCATATGACAACTTTGAACATGTCATTTGTTTTTATTGGCTCTCTACATGACATACATATGATCAGATCTTCAGATCTTAAAAACTGTAAATTAATTTCAACCAGATCATAGAAACTGGGAATATTCTGTTTCTTCACCAGCAGCACTACACCTGTGTAAGTGAAGTGAGCCCAGTACTGGCTGACACACACTGCCCGCTCTCATGCACACCCTGAATTACAGGCATAGAGAGAGGGCCGGTAGAGACTGACACTGCCAATAAAAACCTTATGGAGGTTTTGGACTGTCAAAACAGACCATTGATATGGTGGCCCATTGGGATTTGTCCTTGGGTGGTGCGCTTGTGTAGTACACCAGTGATTGGAGTGAATATCAATAGGTAAGAAAAATCGTAATGTTAGCTTGTTAAAGCTAACATTGTCTCTCCCCCCTTCACCTCTGCTGGGTGTAACCACATGCCTCCAGTTTAACTGTCTGCTACTAGTGCAGCGTCTGTTGGAACTAGTTGGACAGAAGTGCCACTAGTTGCTGAAGAAGAATGACTAATAAGAGTTTTTGTTCAACTAGTCAAACAAAACGCTGAACAATTGTGACCACAACTAGTGATTACAAAGACCATATGAGTGGAAACTGACATCTGATATGAAGGAGATGGAAGAAATGTTCAAACATGTTTACAGACGCCATGAGTCTGATGCAATAAGAAATTAACTTTTAACGATCTCCTAATCCCATGACCACTCACAGGTGGAAAGCACAAGGTTAACAGATTTACTGACACAACTTCCCCCTCCACAAGAATCTGCAGCATCCACAAAACTACAAATAATTATAGTTTACTTATCACAAGTGGAGCTCATCACTCAGTGGATCTTTATATCATAGTGCACTTTGTTCAACCATGACATTAGAGCTTTATACCTGTGTGGATTCGGGTACTCACCTGTGTGATGTTCAGTCTGTGGCTGAGAAGAGAAGGAGGAACCTCTGACTGATCACTGCACACAAATAAAAATCTTTCCAAAGTTCATGGGGCGGAGCTTCAGATCATGTCATCACTCTGCTCTGTCTCTGAATACAGAGTGTGGCATAGACTTCACAGACAGTGGATATATGACAGTGTGTGTGGGTTGTCTAAACTGTTTAGTGATCTCAGGGAGAACCTCTGAGTCTCAGTCTTTTCGTGTGTTTGTAGCAGCTGAACATGATGTTGTTCCGCACTGACTTTCAGTCACTGTTCAGACAGATTCCAGGTCACTGACCTGTGGCTTGTTACTCTTTAGACAGCCTTGCACTGACCTTGTGTTTGCTGTTTGTGAGGGTGTATGACTCATCGGTCACCTGCCTGCACACACACACACACACACACACACACACACACACACACACACACACACACACACTCACTCACACAAAGCTGCATTGAGTTGTAAAAGGATTTTATTTTTATAGCAGAGGTGTGGAGAGGTGAAGAACCTCAGTGTCATGAAGGAATGAAGAGGAGCAGGAGAAGGAGCAAGAGGAGAAGGAGGAGGAAAACATATCAGACAAATTATTCAAACAAGAGAATCAGTGATTGTCACAAATATACTGTAAAAGTTCACAGACCAGCTCAGTGAACTATGCTAACAGGACTGTCAGGTATCATTACTGCAGCTCCCTCTGTTAGACATTTAGAGTTACTGCACAGATGAAGCTTTTTATTTCAGCGCTGCTGCTTCATATAAACTCAGCCATACAGATTATCACAGAAGTGTGGATGGAGCCAATCCCATCTGACATCATGTTTAGATTGAAATCTGATGTTGGATTAATAATCTGAACCACACTCAGTTACAGAGGAACATTTTAACTTTCATAACACAGAGATCTTAGCTGTTTAAGACACACCACCACATACTGTGATCCCAACATCAGTCTGGGACCTGTGTTCTCATTTCTCCACTCTCTGACCCATCATTTCCATTCACCTCTCTATAGGGAACACATGATGAGCACATGATGATGATGTGTCTGTGGATGAGAATGAAGAGTATAGGCATCCAACCTCACGTAAGAGGGTATGTTTTATATGTGTGTATGTGTAACACTGTATTAATTGTGAGTGAAAATGTGTGACATTTATAGATGCTGATTGTGTGATATGGCAGAAGATTACAAGAGCTACAATGTAGATTAAACAGTAGGATTTAACACATAATAAATGGTCTATAAACAGGAATGAATAAAATCATGAGTCTAGGAACATTCTGGCAGCATTAACCGAGAGAAATGATCTGATTCTCTTAAAATTTTGTAAATTTAATTTTATGGTGTTTAACACCTTTTCAGCATGAATTTTAAAGGATAGAAGAGTAGAGTTTGTGAATATCATACACACCGTTGTTTTAGTATTCAATAAGAAACCAGATTTAGTGAGCCAGTCCTGCACAGGGCTCATTCCAGATGTAAAAAGGAAGGAGGCCTCTGGAATGTCTTAAGCACATGTAAAAATTACATGTTATGTTCATGTCTGCACATGCATTAGGTAAGTCATTGATATAAAGTGTAAATAATATTGGTCCAAGAATAGAACCTTGTGGAACCCCTACAGGATAGTCAAGGTGTCGGGATTTGGTGCCATCAACACACACACATTACTTTCTGCATATTGGTAGAAAGAACTATTCCTTCCTATTACTGCTATATTACTGCTAAACATTTTCTAAATCCGACAACAGAATTTCATATTATTTTTTAGATAAAGAGAGAGAAAATAACATGTTTTCAGTGTTTTGCAGTGCAGTCTTTTCAGCCTGTTATCATTATGCACAATTACTTGAATGACTGAGGAACAGCCTTGAACTCAGCCCTATACTGCAAACAAATAGGCTCAAAGACAAAGACTCAAAGAGGAGAATGAAAGTATTGTATTGTCACAAAACATAAGTCAGTGAACTCAAAGGCTAAAACAAGTCACACAGAGGAGTGTCTGACAGCCCAGCTGCAAATGGACTTTTCTACAGATGGACTCCTGTGATAAAAAGACATGGACTGAGGTTTATTGTACCTGTCAACTCCGTGACCAACATCAGCAATTGTTTAGAACCATTTGGAAAATGAATAAAGGTTAAAAAAAAAGTAAATAAATGAAATAGAAATTTCTCCCCTCTGCTCTTCCTGCAGCTGGAACTGATGCTAAAAGAACTACTAATGATCAAGAGCAGAATGATGAGTCCTGCTTCCTTTTTGGAAGAGGAGGAGGAGGAGGAGGTGGAGGAGGAGAGGAGAAGAGGGAGGAGAGGGAGGAGGAGAAGAAAAAGAAGAAGAAGTTGCTTGGTGCCGACAATAAATATTTAAATGCTGACCAGTATCACTGGGAAAATGGAATATTCTTCATTTGTATTTATTTAAGATGTCAAACTGTCAATAAGCTTGATGCTGTAGACATTACATTATGTGCACTTATTATACTAGATGTATTTTAAAGCCACTGAAAACCTGGTAAGTTTCAAATCTGAACTTTGTCTCCAGAACATTAAAAACTCAAGACTAAACCAGCAACAATGTCATCCAGGGAATAAACCTGTGTTGATCACCAAAAGCTCTGTCAAACTTTGACTTGTGAATGTAAACTGTCACTTGCAAAGGTGCATCAGCAGAGACAGCTGAGCTTTACTGGTACAATCCTTGCCTGTACAATAACCACAAATAACAATAAAAATATGTCTAATGATCCACTCTCATTCCATCAGTGAGTCAAACATCAGCAGTAATGACAGCCATGTTTTTTTCTGTGTTACACACCAGAGTCACTTTGTATCTGTTGTGCTGTAGCTCTGTGGTGATTTATGTTTATTTTGGTGGTCTTCCTGTCTGTGCTCGCTGGGTCTGTATTTGTTGAGGCTCTTCTCAGTTCAGGTTGAGTCATCATGGTAACTGTGGCGTGCTGTCAGTCACTTAATGATGGCAGTATCTGCTGGTACAGCTCCGTCATGTGGAGCTCCTGGAAGACTGCAGTGAGCTCTGCTGAGGACTGGTAGTCCTTCACCACAAACCTCTGGAGCCTGACAGAAACACAGAGACATTGGAGATGCTGTGACACCACTGTGTGAGCATCATATGTCCCTCCTGCTACATCAGAGTCAAGTTATCCATACCCATGTCCACAGGAGGAATGCGAGGGGGTTTCGATGAGAACCTTCATCATCCTCTCCTTGCATTTCTTCCCTGAAGAATCCACATCCACCTTCACTGTCTTCAACAGGCGGCAAAACTCCTGAGGAGACAGTGATGAGTGCAAACAGTCAGGTCACACTGCACAGGGAGGCAGAGCAGCAGTCACTCATCATGTGATCACAAAAATACAACAATAACATGCGGAACACTCATTTACATGTCAAGTAAGGTTCAAGTTACAGAGTATTATATCCACAATGTGAATGTGAAGTCAGTGGGAGGTGGACGACTCTCCTCACAGACATACGAGGTGCGAAAGGTGTAAATAAGCTTCACTGCATCCCATATGAGTGTGACAGCAACACATTAAAACATCTTCCACAGAGGGCATAAAGCCAGACCACTCTGACACCAACTTCATCCCGATTCTTACAAAGAAAAACTCTTTTCTAGTTGTCCAAGAGGGGGGTGGATTTTGCAGCCTTAGACTAGTCACCCTATTTGTTGAAAATCTGGGGACTCTGGGGCCACCCAGGACACTGTAGTTCAGTTTGATTGGGGGAGTTTCCAAAAATGACAAAATGTTAATTTAGGAAAACTTGCCAACTTTTTGAATGTGCATGCACGTCCCAATACAAAGGTATTCAAAATGGACACTTCTGTCCATACGTGAACTTTTAGGACTATTTGTGGCTGTGTCCTGTTTGGATCAGTGACACATGGGAAACACATCCGGGATGAATGGATGGCCTCTATGTGCCACCTGGTAGACACGGCAATGTAGCCTGATGAATGGGATGTTCTGAGAATGACTTTAAAAAACTGTTCTGAGTGTTTTTCCACACTATGTTGCCAGTCAGTCAGTCTTATAGTGGCCTCGGTTTGTGTTTATTTTCCCTTGTGAATGAATGAGTGTCACATGCGACCTGAATGTTCTCTAAGGCACAGAAACACTACTGGGTTAAGGCTAGAGGAGTCTGTAGGGAGATGTGTGGCTGCATGTTGGATTTAAAAACTATCAAAAGTAAATCAAATCAGCACTTTATGACTTGCAATTGAATTGATGAAATCAGCATCGATACTCAGTCCTATTGATTGATTTACTTACTATATGTAAGTTTTTATCTGCTGTACATGGTTTCTTGCTGGGAGCAGGTGGTGGTGATGATATTGGTTGCTTTCCCAGAGCTGTAAGTGATAGTTCAGGTTACTTGGTGTGGGGTTGTGTGAAGTAGTCATGCATAGTCAGTGTGTTACCCGCAGTAGATTCGGATCAGTGTGCTGCCAGTTTAGAGAAGCAGTCAGGAACACCAACACAGACACAGAGCAATGGGCTGCTGTGGGCGGGGTCAGCAGAGTAAAACTTGTTTTAGACACTTTTAGAAGACGCCAACCATAACAATCAAATATCTGTTTAAGTGCACGTTTCATGTAGAATATTTTCAGCTTTATCTTCCTGTCAAAAAAAGTGAAGTTTAGCTCTTTCTGATTCACTCAGCTCACCTGCATTTGTGGCGTAATACAGATAGGTGCACTTGTGCCAAGAAATACAGTTGAGAAAAATGTAGTACCAAAGGAAAGCGCTGTTTTGACAGCAGCACATCGCTCTGCTAGTGCATCGTGTTCCCTGCCTCTCCTAATCGGCAGCATGCTGGTCTAAATCTACTGCAGGTAACACACTGACTATGCATGACTACAGGTTAGAATACGCCCTCTCACTGCTACAGTGACTCACTATCACAGAGAAGTATTACAGGAAGGGACAGGTTAGCATGCTAACTTCAGTAGAAGACAAGAAATGATAGAAATAGAAGGAAAACAAAAATTTAAATCTGGTGTTGCTAAAGGTAACACAACAACAAACATCTGCTAATACTAACATTGTAGTGATAACTTACATATCGCACCTTTAATGAAACAAATCCAAACCTTCCTCAGATGTGGAGATTTGTTGCTTTTCTTCATCCTAACATGATGCTAAACTGAATGTGTCTCAGTTTTTGGACACTTGGACTGATGACATCATGTTTTATTTATAACTGCTTTCTGAAGCTCAACCAATAAAATATGTAATGTACCAATGATACTGTATATGAAAAATAATCTACAGATTGCTCTATGATGAAAATGATGGTTAACTGCTTCATACTGTGACACCTGATGGATTCATTTAAAGCACAGAGCAGGAGGAGGGTGCTGTTGTTCTGGTTCTTCATCCTGTGTGAGCCACAGGCTGCCTTCATCACAGCCTCATCTGTCTCCAGTATGAATTCATATAATAACAATGCGTAGAAGATGTTTAATGTATTACTGATATACATCACCTTTTAACTTGTTTTCCAGACCATAATCAATCACTCTTTAAACTGCTAAGACTCAACCATATAGTGTGTCAGTTATACACTATATGTACTGTCTGTGATGCAGAGTTAATTGTGGGTCAGTACCTTGATGTCAGCTCTGGCTCCCTGCAGAATAACCAGTATACTCTGTCCCAGTAACAACCTCCCAGGCAGCTGCAGCTGCTGGCTCCAGCGCTCCAGCAGTCCGATGTAACGACTCCGAGATCGGATGTGGTCCAACGACAGCACTGCGGTCCACCTCTCCTCTCCGTCTCTGTCTTTCACCTCCTCCTCAGCTCCTCTGCAGCCCTCTGTCACCTCCTCACTCTGCTGCTGTTACACATCACACAGCAGCTACATCATCCATGAAAACTGGTTCGTATCCTCCACAGGGTTGATTTTAGTTTAGTTTGTTGTGGCCACACTTCAGAGACACATTTATTAAGAATAAATTAAATGATGTAACCAGTCAGTCAGTTTACCTGTAACCAGTCTACCAGCTGATGGACCATTGGCTCTGGTGGTAAGGCTGCAGCTCGGTCCAGCAGCCTCTGTCTGATGCTGTGACACTGGCTCCTGGAGAAAGCAGTGGAGGAGACAGAGATGTCGGGGGGGCAGGAAGGGTACTGGGGGTGCAGGTGGAACAACAGACTCAGGTTCAGCCCTCTCTCCCCTGGAACAGTGGTGTTGATTTGGACCAGGAGCCCATCCTGCACTGCAAGGCAAACACAGTCATAGTACAGCCGCAGATAGCAAAATAAAACCAATAACCAACTGACACAACACAGGCCTGGGTCCTCGGCCAGAGTCTGGCCCATACACTTCCACATCTGAGCTGATTCCAGCTGATATCCTCCAGTACTGACGGACAGCTGGATAATTTTCTGTGTGCGTGCCAGAACTGGTCCAGATGTGGGAGCATGTATGCATGCAAATACTTATGTACATACCTTCTTATTCATGGTTGAGTTGTTATTTTTCTACTTTATTCTATTGTTATGCTTGTTTTTTTCTTCTACCTTGTTTTCTTATGCTGCAGGGACAAGTGAAGTTCCCCAGTATGGGATCAATAAAGGTTCATCTTATCTTACCTTACCTTATCTTATCTTATCTTATGTTATATGTTTGGGCCAGATTTATTTTTGCTACAGCTACAAAATGACAGAGTTCACCTTTGAGCTTTGACAGTCAAACATCCAGATGTTTTAACTGAACTAAATGAGAAGTGAGAGAATGTTTAGGAACAGCTGCATAGTTTCTTCTATTGATTGATATTAGCATGAAAGTAGCAGGACACTTGAATTGACTTGAACATTTTCGCCTGTATAAGCGCTGATGGCCCCAGGTTGTGTGCTGTCATGCTGATGGTCGTAGTTTGTGTTGTGTGTGTAGAGTGACAGTGAGACGTTCACTGACTCACCAGACTGCTGGAGGAGCCGGAACTCTCCCTCTCCGCAGTAAATGGCCGATAAAACTGAAACCTCCTCTACAGCAGCTTCAGACATAATTCATGACGTCATCTTCTCTTTAACAACCCTACACAGGCGACATGTTATTAAACACAGAGGATCTTTGCTGGTACATTTACTTATGCCTGCATTAACTACAGGCTGCTGCACTTGTCCACACCTCCGTTGTCCGGGTAATTTCGCACATCGAGAACATCAGTTCCGCTCCACAGGTTCCTTCCGGTGAGCGGAACTGGAAGCCAAAAGGTAAAAAAAAAAAAATAATAATAATAAAAACACTTTGTCTCGACCTCGACACCGCGGTGCTCAATGAATCTCTGCACTCACACTAAAAAGAAGATGTTTAATTGCAGAGCTGAAATGATACTTTATTTTATTTTAGGTTTAAAAACGGGTTCAAAAAATGTGCTGTAACAATAGCAAATACTGTGTTGCACTCAAAATCAAACCCTGCTAATATTAAAGGGTTAAAGACACAAATCTCACAGAAGACAGCTGCTAACTCCTGTCAGTCACCACTTTGGCTGGTTTAGCTCATCAGGGCTGGTTAGGCAGCCAGATGCTACAGATGTTTATGTAATTGTAGTGTCTATGTAGAGGAGATAACTTTTACAAACCAAATAAACAACAGGGTCATGAACTGGCTCAAGGTTCAGACACAGAGGAGGGAGAACATATGGTTTGATTTACAACCTCCAGATGACCCTACTCAGCTTCTTCGGGTCAGGATCAGGCACAGCAGGGAAGCAGGAGGAGTCGTTAGCAGGGCCTCTGGCCTGGAGAAAGAAATCCTCCTGTACACAGAGAATTATTATCAATATCACAGTTTTTGTTCTATAGCCAACAGCTTTACAGTCAGTGCTGCTGTTTGTAGCTGCAGCAGCTGTTTTCAGAGAAACAGCATGTGTCCATGACCTACTCAGCAGCAAACAGCAGACACACACAGCTTTTATTTCATTATCAATGTTTACATACACACCAACATAAATAAAATACATAACAAACTCAAGAAGTACTAAACAAACCGCTCCATGAAAAAACGCCCCTGGAAGTAGACCTCAAAGACATGGTGGTTAGTAGGGTTCAAAAATAAAAGCACAACATAACAAAAATGAATTTCCTGTATTAGTTTGTGCAACTTTACACAGTCAGTGTGTGTGTCTTTTCAGCTTAGTGAGGGGCATGCCTCCCAGTTCCCTCACAACTTGGTGTTTATTATTTACATTTAGGTTACTTAATGCTTCTACTCCACATTTCAGAGGAAAATGTTGTACTACATTTATTTGACAGATAGACTGTGATTAGTCACCACATGTTAAACATTGCTTACAATAAATCAGTGCTTAGCTGTGATGTCATTTCCTCTCCATTTTACCCAACAGACGTTAAATGATCCAACATTTCAGTAAAAAATCAAACATTACAGAAAAGTGCAGAAACTGAAAACAGATTTGTGTAGCTGAACTTTGTTTCTTCTTCTTCTTCTCCCATGAATCATGTGATGACCCCTCAGACCCCTAGGTTGTTAAAGCAGCTCCACCTGGAGCAGCTACATCAGTAAAAGGACCCAGAATCAATGATCTGATGATGTCAGAGCGAATTAGTCACAGGAGATAGTTACCACGGTAACTACTGCTGATGATACTTGGGTATGAATGTTTTGTCACTTTTCCTCCTACCGCTGACCCGAACAAAGCTAAAAGAGAGGGAACACTGGACTAAGATTCATCAGGTGACAGAGACACCACATGAATCAACACGCTGATGTGTAACTGCTGGATGTGGAAATAATTGTAAATGTAATAAACAGTTTGAGCAACTTAATGACGTGATGATGTGTCAGTGTTTTGTTAACAGATCGTTTCTGTGCTTGTAGAGAATTATATCACAGTTACAGAGTAACTGCTGCAGCTGTTCATAAGCTTGATAAAAGATCTGATAAAAATTCCCAGAAAGTTTTGACTAGACACACAAAAATAAAACTTTTATCCATGTTTTCTGTATTTTTTTTTCTTATAAGGCCTAAATGCTGTTTGAAAGCCGTCTCCACACCACCACAAATACAGATTCTGGGGAGGAAATACTGTATCCTTTATCCGACCTAAACCTTAATTAATCCAAATTTAAATAGACTGACTTTAAAAATGTGCTGGAATTAGCTCAGAAAGTGCACATCCAGTGATTTAAAAACAGGACGTACTGAGGATATGAGCTCAGGAGCTACTGCCTTGCTGAGGGCTGATGACATACAGGTTTGCACACTGTGATGTGAGAACTGGAACAAGAGACAAAGTCACCTCATGTCAGGGCTCCACTGAAACTGGACGACTCAGAACACACACACAGGAACGAGTGATATAATACATCTGAAATTTATTCACAGAATTAAGAAAACTCCAATGAGATCATTAAAATAATCACCAGGTTACATTAAACCATAGGAGAGCAGATAAATAGTGTGATTTCTTTCTTCAAAGTGCACGATCAGTTCCGTAGCAAAAATACTTGACACAAGCTTATGTGGTGCTCGATAACAACCGCACCCACTGTTTCCATTTAAATCACCACAATCATCCAGTTTCCATCAGACCACCTGACCCTGACACGCTGCTACAAGTAAAAAAAAATCATTTAAATAATTACCTCTTTATTTATAAACCAGTTTCCCCACAACTGTAAAGAATGGCCTCTAGAAGTTCCCTCTCCTCAGGTGTGATCCTGTTTCATACACAATATTACAAATGTAAAAACTAAAGGACATAAATAAGTTTTTTTTGGCAACAGTTGCATAAGTCTAAAAATCTACCAGTATCTGTTCATCATGAAAACTCACTGGTGTGAGAACGAAGTTGAAATACTGCACAAGCAACTGCTGAAAAAAGAGAAGACTGATGTTGGATGAGTAGTACTACTTTACACTCTGTCTCCATATGCAGACCAAAGTGACGCAGGTGACCACCTCAGCTCAGGATTACAATGTAAACACATCTGAAAACACTGGTCACATGTGACAAAAGACACTATTATACAGATCATTATTCTATCAGTGTTCAGAGTGGGGTGAGTGAGGAGTGTTACTGTGGCTGCAGGTGTCACTGTGTTTCCTGTCAGCAGGTTAAATTTTGCAGTTTGCTCTGTAGCCTTTACCTCTGATTATTTATTATTTTAATCATGTGACCTGTTGCTGTGGTGAGATGACTGTGACAGTCATCTGATAGTGGGTCAGTGTCTAACTTAATCAGATCACTGATGATGATGATTGTTATGCAGTTGTCTGACAACCTTAACATCTGTCACATGCATTCGACGACATTCACACACAGAAGGAACATGATCACAGACAGAGAGGGGGCAGAACGAGCTCAGCACTTCAACATGTCTTTGAATGCTAACATGACTCTACAGTTCTAGAGAGACTCACCCATATACTATGCTAGTTATCTGATAGAGTGACTCTCTGTAAACAGAATCAACACCAGGACTAAAGTGTCACCGTCTAGAACAGAAGTGTTTCAGCAGTCTGCAGAGTTGCCAGGTGGAAGGATGCATTCAGTATCCACAGTCAGTAAGAACTAAGTCACATTCACCTCCTGCACAGACAAAGGTTAGATTGTTTAGATGAAAGTCTCTGGTTAAGTCAGTACAAAAGAAGCTACTATGCTGAGTGTATAGAAAATGTCTTTTTAAAAAAATTAAAATTCACAGGTACAGGAGTGTGTGCTTTGAAAGCTGAAATCCTGCTGCGAGCAGAAGCCTCAGATGACACTTTGTAGAAATCTAACGATCCAAGAACCAGTTCAAGTTACTTCACTAGACAAATTTAGAAACTCCGACGTTGTATTTTGTTGGAAATTGTCCTTTTCCACGGGAGACATCTGACTTGTCACAAGAAAAAGCACAGGTGGAACTAACCACATTAACAATGTTCCATTGAGGGGTCAAGGACGAGAGCCCTGGAGCTGACAGGACTAAACGGTACACAGCCATCATTTATGTGGTGCTATTCAAGCTTAAAATGTCTGCTGGGAAAACAGTTGACTGAATGTGCTACATCTCTTTGCCTCGTTTTGCGTAGCCTTGGTGACCGAGGATCGTCCACCAGGTGATGGAAATTCATGTTTTCTTACAAATGAAGCACAAATAATTCAAACTGTTGACCATAATATAAACTTATTGTATTGCTGCATTAGCCAGAACGTACCTGTTTCCATTCATCTACTTCTGAAACCAGAGCATCCTCCCACTTTGCAACTCTTTTAAATTCTGTGGAAGTTTGAAAAATGGACACCTGAAGCACCTGTGACTGTCTCGACTATCTACCTGAAGCTGAGAGGGCCTGGTCCACTGAAAGAACAAACAAAACAAAACAACTGGAGGAGTGGTTCACAGGAGTTTGCTTCCAGGTGATGCAGACTGCTGGCCAGTGTTACTTTACCCAGCTCTCAGCAGGCAGTTAAACCATGTATAAAAGAGACGCAGGCCTGGTTCGCCCAGGAGCAAACATGGCTGCCTCTCAGCCAAAAAAACAACATTGACAAAATGTGAGGCAAAAGATGACATGGTGAAACTACAGTACATTCAAGTCACTCATTTGTGGAAGTTTGATTGGCTGAATTCAGATGCAGCAGATGTTGTTGGTGTAATCAGGTGTTTTCACGTCCCCTCAGGGGACTTCCTGCTCAATTCTCCTCAGACCCAAGAACTGATGAAGACCATTAAGAATGGACCTGAGACCTGGTCTAAGTAGGATTAGGTCCTTTGTTCTGTCAGAGGACCACTGTTCTTGTGCTGACAAGAGCTGAGAACCTCCAACATGGCGGCTACAGGTGTACTACAGCTGCTCTTGTAATTTCATGGAAGGCACTGAATCATTGCTGGTGAAGGTGACGGAGACACCCGGAGCAGAGCCGGATGTTAATGCACTTTTGTGTTCTTGAAATCCTGAGAGGAGAGGAGGTTTTCCTGCCTGTAATTACAGTACTAGACCCCCTCTGGTTACCGAGATGGAGGTTGAGGAATGATTGTAATTAATGTCCAGAAACCGTCTTTATTAACAAGCTGCGTTTACCCCAGAGGTGGGGCTGCAACCCTGATTGGAAAGTCGTGAGGTCTGATGGTCTCAGCGTGTCTTCCTGTAGTAAACAATGGCTGCCACCAATGCTACTGATGCTACTGTAGCGAGAGTCCTCCACCGAGAAAAGCCAC